GCTCAGAGTCAGAGGGATTCCATGGTCTATCCACACTGTGAGGTCCACCATCCATAGCTGAGCTCATTGTCTCTTCTCCCGCACAATCTGCTGTGATGTCCTCATCTTCCATCTTACAACCTGGAGATAAAGTCAGAGGATCCTTTGAGGGTTCCTCCATGGCGTGTCCTGGAAACATAGAGACACATGACGGAGAGATATGAGAGGGTTAGATGACTTCACTCAACATTCCATCTGGATCAGGAGGTCTGAGGGAGCAGATGTTCTATGAGGAGGTCCCAACCAGCCGGGGCTCCTCCCCTCTTCAAAGGGACTCCTCCCAGATCACTTCCACATCTACACAGCCTTGTCAGAAGAGGAGGGGCCAATGGGGACTAGGAGGAGCATGCTCTTCACCCAACCACAAGGCTAGGCACTGGGTCATGTGATCTCTGAGGAACAAAGTTCTGACCCGCTAGAACCTTCAGCAGAGAAGAAGTGACCACAGGCCGAGGCTTCCGGAACTGGGAGAGAAACCCAACCCAATACTACCAGCTGAACCCCAGGACGGGTATCAGGGAGGTGATAGGTGACCTCCCAGAATCCTCCTCACCTCTCCGGTCAGGTGACCTCCCAGAATCCTCCTCCCCTCTCCGGTCAGGTGACCTCCCAGAATCCTCCTCACCTCTCCGGGCAGGTGTCCTCCCAGAATCCTCCTCACCTCCCCGATCAGGTCATGTGACCTCCCAGAATCCTCCTCACCTCTCCGGTCAGCAGGTAGATGATCTCCAGGGTGAGCTTTAGTATCCTCTCCGTCATGTGACTCCGGTCCTCCTCCATCATTGGTGCAGTCCTCTATGGAGGTCTCCCTGTAGACAGATAACATTGATATCAGAGAATGATCCGGATTGTGTTGGCTGTACAATAATAGGAGGAGGAGATCGGGATGTACCAAGGACTATGACGAAGATGGAGACCCCCCTCCCATAGTGAGATAGAACTTCCTTTATATCACAATGGAGGCGTGTCCTCCCCCTCCCCCGCACTCTCCGGCCACGTCCAGTATATCGGTGTGATAATCGGCTTTCCTCGGGGACCGGTCCGTGGTCACCAATGTCCTATTCAGATCACTATGCTGCCCCTCCCCTTAATATAAAAACACTATGCTGCCCCTCCCCCTTAATATAAAACCCCTGTTCTGCCCTTCCCCCTGATATAAAACCCCTGTTCTGCTCCTCCCCCCAGTTCCAGCCCTTAGGGTTAGTTTCTACCTGGCAGTGGTCACCAATAATCATTTCTATTACCTCCTCTGCTGCCAGTTCCAACAATGTCTTCTCTCTACTTCCTCCCGACTCACCTCTCACCCGGAACTTCCTGTCTGTACCTGACATCACTTCCTGTCTGTCATAGAGACTTCCTGTCTCGGTGTAGGTGAGATCGCCACCTTGTGGAGCTCGGGGAGGACTGCAGTCTTTAGAAAATAAAATGTTGTTCTCTAAGAGTCTATTGGACAAAATCCTATTGTCTCCATCGTCCTTCGAGGGACTCCGCTCCGGATAATTCGGAGACGTAGGGCGCCTTCAAAAGCAGTCCAACCAGGGGGGGGCGTGCACCCCCAACGACGGAGGCACCAGCCCAACACAAAACATGAGCCATCGCAGTGCACTTCATCCGCCGCCTGGAGAACGTTTTTACCAACACCACCAGCATCAGCCGAGGCAGAAACACCAACATCGGAGAACTTGGCGAAAGTGTGAACAGAAGACCGAGGTGCGGCCTCGTAATTATGAGTATCAGGAGCTTGATATTGAGACGCCCCAAGTGGCACCCCATATGCCCTAGTAGTGGCACCCCATCCCCCAACTCATAATCTTCAATGACAAGCTGAGGGATCCACTCAGGGAATGTTGGATGAAGAAGCTGAAGAACCTCTCCTAGGCCTTTCCTGAAGAACAATAAAGAGGAAGCTGTGGCTGAGGTCAGCAGTAATAGTCCCCCAGCGTCATCCAAAATGATGAAGAGGAGGTTCCTCAGGATGAACGTGAGCTGGGCGAAGCGAAGGGAAAACAAAGTCTTCGTTTCAGTGAAAAGCCCAGACCACTTTGGGGGTAAAAAGGAGAACCCGCGGTCTCAAAACGACCTTATGAAGAACCACATAGGGTTCTGTCCCAGTTTTCGTGCATTGATCCGGTGCCGGGTTTTGCCCCCGGTCAGCGGTGCTCGGCTTCCTGCCAATCCATTTAGAACAGGGGTCTCAAACCTCCGGCCCTCCAGCTGCGGTGGAACTACAAATCCCATGAGGCATTGTAAGATTATCACAGCCACGACTCCCGAAGAGAGATGCATCATGGGATTTGTAGTTTCACCCCACAGCTGGAGGGCCGGAGGTTTGAGACCCCTGATTTAGAACCTCAGTGCTACAAAGCCAATATACGCTCGGCGTTCCAGCAACGTGTCTTTACACTTCGGCCGGATCCCGTTGTGCCGCCTGGAACTCGTTTCCTTAGGATTCCTGGAAACCGCTAGTTACCAGTCTTGGTGTTCCCTGTGTCTCCTCCGGGTTCCTCCCGGTGATATCCAGCATCTCCAGCAAGTGGACCGTTGTCACCATCCTCAGTGAGCTCCTTCTGCGTCTCTGTCCAGCTTCTGCGTGGCTGCTTGTTTCAGTCAGCCGGCTTCTTCGGAGTATCCTGGTCTGCCGTGCCGTTAATGACTCTCCGTGGTATCTCAGTGTTCCTTTCACCTTCACGTATGGACTTCTTCCTCTGATGTCCTCGTTATCCTCCTACTCCTGATCAGCAGTGTGGAATAGACTTCACCGCTGCCTGCCTCTGCACCCTGAACCTCGGTGCAGGAACTGTCCCACTTCTCATCTCTGCAGTATGCTGCCATCTGTGTCTGCAGGGGTGTGTCAGAGGGCCACAACCTGGGAGATGTCCTGCATGGTAACATCTCCACCTAATGGGGCTCTGGTGAAGACCCGGAACTCCTTAGACCCCGCGCCTCTACTACACCCCTGGTAACATACAGTCACTTCAGTCCCTGGGATCATTTTAGCTCCACCTGCCCTGACCCGCTCCATAGGCCCCGAAGTCTACGTTCCTTAGTGCCCTGGTTGTCGGACCGTGACAGGTTCTATACAAGTGTAGCGCCCTCTGCTATGTCGCTACTATAATCAGTCTGGATGCTGATCTCTCTGAGTTCTGCTGGTTTCCCTGAGTTTGATGGATTGATTGCTCCTCCTGTTGCTGGGCTGGGGCCTCATCATACAGTGAAGGAGGATTCATCCTCAGACTGTACACCTGACTCTGACCAATCACTGAGCAGGGTGACTCAGAGGTGTGGCTGAGAGCAGGTGATAAAAGGTTTGGGGACACTTTCCAGAACTCTCTCCGCC